TGTTAGTTGTTATTTCTCTGATGGCTGATGTCTGATAGTGTTAGTTGTATCCCTCTGATGGTATCCCTCTGATGGCAGATGTCTGGTAGTGTTGGTTGTATGTCTGATAGTGTTATTTGTATCCCTCTGATGGCAGATGTCTGGTAGTGTTAGTTGTAACCCTCTGATGGCAGATGTCTGATAGAGTTAGTTGTTATCCCTCTGATGGCAGATGTCTGGTAGTGTTAGTTGGATCCCTCTGATGGCGGATGTCTGGTAGTGTTGGTTGTATCCCTCTGATGGCGGATGTCTGACAGTGTTAGCTGTATCCCTCTGAAGGCAGATGTCTGATAGTGTTAGTTGTATCCCTCTGATTGCAGATGTCTGGTAGTGTTAGTTGTATCCCTCTAATGGCAGATGTCTGATAGTGTTGGTTGTATCCCTCTGATTCTGATAGTGTTAGTTGTATCCCTCTGATGGCAGATGTCTGGTGGTGTTGGTTGTATCCCTCTGATGGCAGATGTCTGGTAGGTGTTAGTTGTTATTTCTTTGATGGCTGATGTCTGATAGTGTTAGTTGTATCCCTCTGATTGCAGATGTCTGGTAGTGTTAGTTGTATCCCTCTAATGGCAGATGTCTGATAGTGTTGGTTGTATCCCTCTGATTCTGATAGTGTTAGTTGTATCCCTCTGATGGCAGAGTCTGACAGTGTTAGTTGTATCCCTCTGATGGCAGATGTCTGACAGTGTTAGTTGTATCCCTCTGATGGCGGGGTAGGGGTTAGTTGTTATTTCTCTGATGGCTGATGTCTGATAGTGTTAGTTGTATCCCTCTGATTGCAGATGTCTGGTAGTGTTAGTTGTATCCCTCTGATGGCGGATGTCTGGTAGTGTTAGTTGTATCCCACTGATGGCGGATGTCTGACAGTGTTAGTTGTATCCCTCTGATGGCGGATGTCTGACAGTGTTAGCTGTATCCCTCTGAAGGCAGATGTCTGATAGTGTTAGTTGTATCCCTCTGGTGGCGGATGTCTGGTAGTGTTAGTTGTATCCCTCTGATGGAGGCTGTCTGGTAGTGTTGGTTGTATCCCTCTGATGGCAGATGTCTGATAATGTTAGTTGTATCCCTCTGATGGCAGATGTCTGGCAGTGTTAGTTGTATCCCTCTGATGGCAGATGTCTGGAAGGTGTTAGTTGTTATTTCTCTGATGGCTGATGTCTGATAGTCTGATGGCAGATGTCTGACAGTGTTAGTTGTAACCCTCTGATGGCAGATGTCTGACAGTGTTAGTTGTAACCCTCTGATGGCAGATGTCTGATAGAGTTAGTTGTTATCCCTCTGATGGCAGATGTCTGGTAGTGTTAGCTGTATCCCTCTGATGGCGGATATCTTATAATGTTAGTTGTATCCCTCTGATGGCCGATGTCTGATAGGGTTGGTTGTATCCCTCTGATGGCAGATGTCTGGTAGGTGTTAGTTGTTATTTCTTTGATGGCTGATGTCTGATAGTGTTAGTTGTATCCCTCTGATGGCTGATGTCTGATAGTGTTAGTTGTATACCTCTGATGGCAGATGTCTGGTAGTGTTGGTTGTAACCCTCTGATGGCAGATGTCTGATAGGTGTTAGTTGTATCCGTTTGATGGCAGATGTCTGATAGTGTTAGTTGTATCTGTCTGATGGCAGAGTCTGACAGTGTTAGTTGTTATTTCTCTTGTGGCAGATGTCTGGTAGTGTTAGTTGTATCCCTCTGATGGCTGATGTCTGATAGTGTTAGTTGTATCCCTCTGATTGCAGATGTCTGGTAGTGTTAGTTGTATCCCTCTAATGGCAGATGTCTGATAGTGTTGGTTGTATCCCTCTGATGGCAGATGTCTGGTAGTGTTGGTTGAAACCCTCTGATGGCAGATGTCTGATAGGTGTTAGTTGTATCCGTTTGATGGCAGATGTCTGATAGTGTTAGTTGTATCCCTCTGATGGTATCCCTCTGATGGCAGATGTCTGGTAGTGTTAGTTGTTATTTCTCTGATGGCTGATGTCTGATAGTCTGATGGCAGATGTCTGACAGTGTTAGTTGTATCCCTCTGGTGGCGGATGTCTGGTAGTGTTAGTTGTATCCCTCTGATGGAGGCTGTCTGGTAGTGTTGGTTGTATCCCTCTGATGGCGGATGTCTGACAGTGTTAGCTGTATCCCTCTGAAGGCAGATGTCTGATAGTGTTAGTTGTATCCCTCTGGTGGCGGATGTCTGGTAGTGTTAGTTGTATCCCTCTGATGGAGGCTGTCTGGTAGTGTTGGTTGTATCCCTCTGATGGCAGATATCTGATAGTGTTAGATAGTGTTAGTTGTATCCCTCTGGTGGCGGATGTCTGGTAGTGTTAGTTGTATCCCTCTGATGGCGGATGTCTGGTAGTGTTGGTTGTATCCCTCTGATGGCAGATATCTGATAGTGTTATTTGTAGTATCCCTCTGATGGCGGATGTCTGATAGTGTTAGTTGTTATCCCTTTGATGGCAGATGTCTGATAGTGTTAGTTGTATCCCTCTGATGGCAGATGTCTGATAGTGTTAGTTGTTATCCCTTTGATGGCAGATGTCTGATAGTGTTAGTTGTATCGGTCTGATGGCAGAGTCTGACAGTGTTAGTTGTTATTTCTCTGGTGGCAGATGTCTGGTAGTGTTAGTTGTATCCCTCTGATGGAGGCTGTCTGGTAGTGTTGGTTGTATCCCTCTGATGGCAGATGTCTGGTAGTGTTAGTTGAAACCCTCTGATGGCAGATGTCTGATAGGTGTTAGTTGTATCCGTTTGATGGCAGATGTCTGATAGTGTTAGTTGTATCGGTCTGAAGGCAGATGTCTGATAGTATAAGTTGTTATCCCTCTGATGGCAGATGTCTGACAGTGTTAGTTGTATCCCTCTGATGGCAGATGTCTGGTAGTGTTGGTTGTATCCCTCTGATGGCAGATGTCTGGTAGTGTTGGTTGTAACCCTCTGATGGCAGATGTCTGATAGGTGTTATTTGTATCCCTCTGATGGCAGATGTCTGATAATGTTAGTTGTATCCCTATGATGGCAGATGTCTGGTAGTGTTAGTTGTAACCCTCTGATGGCAGATGTCTGATAGTGTTGGTTGTCTCCCTCTGATGGCAGATGTCTGGTAGTGTTGGTTGTAACCCTCTGATGGCAGATGTCTGGTAGTGTTGGTTGTATCTCTCTGATGGAGGATATCTGATAGTGTTAGTTGTTATCCCTCTGATGGCGGATGTCTGATAGTGTTAGTTGTTATGACTCTGATGGCAGATGTCTGAAAGTGTTAGTTGTATCCCTCTGATGGCTGATGTCTGACAGTGTTAGCTGTAACCCTCTGATTGCTGATGTCTGGTGGTGTTAGTTGTATCCCTCTGATGGCTGATGTCTGACAGTGTTAGTTGTAACCATCTGATTGCTGATGTCTGGTAGTGTTAGTTGTATCCCTCTGCTGGCAGATGTCTGATAGTGTTGGTTGTATCTCTCTGATGGCGGATATCTGATAGTGTTAGTTGTTATCCCTCTGATGGCAGATGTCTGAAAGTGCTAGTTGTATCCCTCTGATGGCTGATGTCTGACAGTGTTAGTTGTAACCCTCTGATTGCTGATGTCTGGTAGTGTTAGTTGTATCCCTCTGATGGCAGATGTCTGATAGTGTTGGTTGTATCCCTCTGATGGCAGATGTCTGGTAGTGTTGGTTGTATCTCTCTGATGGCGGATATCTGATAGTGTTAGTTGTTATCCCTCTGATGGCGGATGTCTGATAGTGTTAGTTGTATCCGTCTGATGGCAAATGTCTGATAATGGTAGTTGTTTCCCTCTGATGGCGGATGTCTCATAGTGTTAGTTGTATCCCTCTGATGGCAGTTGTCTGATAATGTTAGTTGTATCCCTCTGATGGCGGATGTCTGGTAGTGTTAGCTGTATCCCTCTGATGGCGGATATCTGATAATGTTAGTTGTATCCCTCTGATGGCAGATGTCTGAAAGTGCTAGTTGTATCCCTCTGATGGCTGATGTCTGACAGTGTTAGTTGTAACCCTCTGATGGCAGATGCCTGATAGTGTTAGCTGTATCCCTCTGATGGCGGATATCTGATAGTGTTATTTGTATCCCTCTGATGGCGGATGTCTGGTAGTGTTAGCTGTATCCCTCTGATGGCGGATGTCTGATAGTGTTAGTTGTATCCCTCTGATGGCGGATGTCTGATAGTGTTAGTTATCCCTTTGATGGCGGATGTCTGATAAGAGCTTTCATAGTGAAATGTTTATTGTTAACAACGTTCACGACGTTAGACTAAAATAATTAGTAATAATTTTATTTAAAAGTGATGCATAATGTTTTTTGATATTTTTAAAATAAGTGCTTTATTTAAATGTATACTTAATAATATTATCATGAGCAATCGTATAGCGCTTTAAATAACCTGTCGTTGTATGATATTAGAGATCTCTACTAAATTGTTTACACAACATGATTTGTCCACACTTCTCCCATCCCTAATCCCACCCATGCAACAACAACCTCACCCTAACCTCGACACCACAGCCCCACACCCAGCGTCCGCATAATAACCCGCGAAAAATAAAACGGATAATACAAGTGGCGTTAATATTTATAATCTTGTCGTGGTAGATGGCAGGTGGAACGCGTTATTGCCTCCTACTGTCTCTTGGATGCTTGTACAGCAACATGCTGACTTATCGATCTGTTGGTCAGACAGGTGAAGGAGCGCCATGAATCAGTGTCAGAGATAGTTCTAACGGACGACAGGCGACAGTCATCACAGTCTACCCGGATCACGACCTCACCCAACGCCCAGCACACACCTGCAGGTTACTGGTCAAAACACAGTGTACCTATTGAAGTGTACAAGGAAGTCGCTGATGTCGTCACTTATTGTGCGTTTTATTGCTTTTGCGACAGATGCTGATTCGAAAAGGGCCGGTTATGTTGCAGCGCCATCTGGTGACAGTTTGGTATGACATTATAGACTGCTTGATGGTAGCATTTCGATGTGGGGTAAGCTTTCTTATCTACTGTTTATGTGAATTAATGACAATGTTTGTCATGTAACCTCGGTATTATACACAACGATTAACGATAACATGTTATATATGTACACGTCCGCAGTGGTCTTTAAGATGATTTTAGGTGTACTACATACACTCTGGTCTCGTCTCGCACTCATAAATGTAACGTGAGGCCATTGTAAAAAATAAACATTTAGGTGACGTTTGGTTCTACTATGAATATCTTTTGCAATGACACGTTTCAATACTGGAAATATTGATAAATTTATATAACGATAAAATATCCATTTGCGCATTGAATCACAATTTCTTTTTCGATGTCCATACCGGTATTATCCTAAGTCGATTACATGCATTATAGTCTTTCCCTCTTAAGGGAGCAAAAGAAAATATGTACATGTCATCGTGTGGAACCACATCGTTTATCTGTACGCAACCCTCGGTTTGGACGATTTTAGAATTTCATGTTACACCCTAAAATCTTAACTTCAGTCTGATATTGGCCCAATACCTATCTTTATAAATGAAGAGAAAAATACCGGTTTTGAATTCTGTAAAAAAAAGAGCTTTGATTTTTCAGTAAAACAGTGTGCAAATTCTACATTTTTTCACTGTAAAATTCCATGCAGTCAATATCTGTTTAAGGTCCTGTTTAATATTAAGGAGCAGTCAATATCTGTTTTCTCTATAAACCTGTGACATTGTTTCACAACTAGAGATCGACAAGAGTTGAACGATATCAACCGACATCGTTAGAGAAAGACGTGTGCGTGATCACCCGGCATCGGGAGAGAAAGACGTGTGCGTGATCACCCGGCATCGATAGAGAAAGACGTGTGCCTGATCACCCGGCATCGGTAGACAAAGACGTGTGTGTGTATTCAAACAGCAATGTGTCTCTCAACTAGATAAATACCAGGCAAAAATAGTTCAATTCTACCAAATATATGTTTTGTTTCGTATTGTCCTCATTTGTTCCATTACATACCTGTAAAAGGCGACCGATACGGCACCTCCTGTACATCCGGGGACTTCAATTTATTCCATACTTTGGATCAACGTGTTGTTTTATCCATTTACACAACCATCAAACCTTAATGGCTCAGTCCCTGTTTGACTTGTCAACAAGGGATAACAACAAAAAAATCCCTCAATCCATTGAATATTTCATACATTTTCAAGTATTTTCAAAGATTAAAGTTAATATTTTTGAAAGTATGTTTCTGCAATGTTGTAGAATACCCATTGTTTCTACATCAAACAACTGCTATGACAAATTGACCTGGTCTTGTCGGCTCCTAGTTATAATGACAGTAATAGGACAGTGATTGTAGACACGATCATTACGATAGTAGCACTCTCAACAGTATTCATATCATAATATTGAATCTTTGAAGAGACTCCTTAGATTCTTAATCTGCTAACAAACGGGAACTGGCTCCATGCTATACGCACAGAATTTGTTCCATACAGCATTCTAGTGGTTATCTCACTAAGGGGCTATTGACTTGACGAAGAAAACACGAGATGTTGAAGAGGTTACATGTAATTTGTTTGACAATATCTCGCTAAGGGTCTATTGACTTGACGAGGATACAGTGAGATGTTGAAGAGGTTACATGTATTTTGTTTGACACTATCTCACTAAGGGGCTATTGACTTGACGAGGAAAACAGTGAGATGTTGAAGAGGTTACATGTATTTTGTTTGATACTATCTCACTAAGGGTCTATTGACTTGACGAGGATACAGTGAAATGTTGAAGAGGTTACATGTAATTTGTTTGACACTATCTCACTAAGGGTCTATTGACTTGACGAGGATACAGTGAGATGTTGAAGAGATTACATGTATTTTGTTTGACAATATCTCACTGAGGGTCTATTGACTTGACGAGGATACAGTGAGATGTTGAAGAGGTTACATGTAATTTGTTTGACAATATCTCACTAAGGGTCTATTGACTTGACGAGGATACAGTGAGATGTTGAAGAGATTACATGTATTTTGTTTGACAATATCTCACTGAGGGTCTATTGACTTGACGAGGATACAGTGAGATGTTGAAGAGGTTACATGTAATTTGTTTGACACTATCTCACTAAGGGGCTATTGACTTGACGAGGATACAGTGAAATGTTGAAGAGGTTACATGTAATTTGTTTGACACCATCTCACTAAGGGGCTATTGACTTGACGAGGAAAACAGTGAGATGTTGAAGAGGTTACATGTAATTTGTTTGACAATATCTCACTAAGGGGCTATTGACTTGACGAGGAAAACAGTGAGATGCTGAAGAGGTTACATGTAATTTGTTTGACAATATCTCACTAAGGGTCTATTGACTTGACGAGGATACAGTGAATTATTGAAGAGTTAACATTTAATTTGTTTGCTGAAAAGGTTACAGACTTGTTGAAGGTGTTTCTTATTTGTTGAAAAGGTTACTTGTCTGCTGAAAGGGCTACTTTATCATTGAAGACTGAACCGACTTGATTTCCTTGATAAAGCGGTTATAGACTTACTTAAAGGGGAACCTGACTTATTTAAGCGGTTATAAACTTACTTGAAGGGGAACCTGACTTATTGAAGCGGTTATAGACTTACTTAAAGGGGAACCTGACTTACTGAAGCGGTTATAGACTTACTTAAAGGGGAACCTGACTTATTGAAGCGGTTATAAACTTACTTGAAGGGGTACCCGACTTATTGAAGCGGTTATAGACTTACTTAAACGGGAACCTGACTTATTGAAGCGGTTATAAACTTACTTAAAGGGGAACCTGACTTATTGAAGCGGTTATAAACTTACTTGAAGGGGTACCCGACTTATTGAAGCGGTTATAAACTTACTTAAAGGGCTAACTGACTTAATGAAGCTGTTATAGACCTACTTGAAGAGGTTACTGACTTAATGAAGCGGTTATAAACTTACTTAAAGCGCTAACTGACTTAATGAAGTGGTTATAGACCTACTTGAAGGGGCTATTGACTTATTGAAGCGTTGATAGACTTACTTTAAGGGCTAACTGATTTAATGAACAAGTTATAAACTTACTTGAAGGGGCTACTAACTTAATGAAGCGGTTATAGACTTACTTGACGCGGCGACCGACTTAATGAAGCGGTTATAGACTTACTTGAAGTGGTTACTGACTTAATGTAGCGGTAATAAACTTATTTGAAGGGGCTACTAACTTAATGAAGCGGTTATAGACTTACTTGAAGGGGCTACTGACTTATTGAAGCTATTATAGACTTACTTGACGGGGTTACTAACTTAATGAAGCGGTGATAGACTTACTTGACGGGGTTACTAACTTAATGAAGCGGTTATAAACTTACTTGAAGGGTTTCTGACTTATTAAAGCGGTTATAGTCTTGCTTGAAGGGGCTACTAACTTAATGAAGCGTTTATAGACTTACTTGAAGGGGCTACTGACTTAATGAAGCTATTATAGACTTACTTGAAGTGGTTACTGACTGAATGAAGCGGTTATAAACTTACTTGGAGGGGTTACTGATTTAACGAAACGGATATAGACTTATTTGAAGGGGCTACTAACTAAATTAAGCGGTTATAGACTTACATGAAGGAGTATCTAACATTATGAAGCGTTATAAACTTACTTGAAAGGGTTACCGACTTAATGAAGCGGTTATAAACTTAATTGAAGGGGCTACTGACTTAATGAATGGTTTACTAGGTTGCGCATGGGGTTAAATGTGTGTTGAATGAGTAACAGACTACCTGAAGGGGTTACCGACTTGCTGAAGGGGTTACCGACTTGACAAATTACTTGTTTGTCGAATGGGTACAGACTTGATAGATTACCAATTTGTTGAAGAGGAAACAAACTTACTCGAAGGGGTTACTAACTAAATGAAGAGTTAACTAGGTTGATCATTGGGCTAAATGTGTGCCGAAGGGGTAACAGACTTGCTGAAGGGGTTACTGACTTAAAAGGGATATTTAAGGGGAAACTTATTTGATGAAAACAAGTTTGACCTGCAGAAAAGGTTGCTGACTCGAATTGATGAAGGATTTTCTGACTTAATGAAGGGATTTCTGACTTGATGAAGAGATAACCGACTTGATGAAGGGGGTTCCTGACTTAATGAAGGGATATCTGACTTAATGAAGTGATTTCTGACTTAATGAAGGGATTTCTGACTTGATGAAGGGATAACCGCCTTGATGAAGGGGTTCCTTGCTTAATGAAGTGATTTCTGACTTAATGAATGGATTTCTGACTTGATGATGGGATAACCGACTTGGTCAAGGGATTTCTGACTTAATGGAGGGATTTCTGACTTGATTAAGTGATTTCTGACTTAATGAAAGGATTTCTGACTTGATGATGGGATAACCGACTTGGTGAAGGGATTTCTGACTTGGTGAAGGGATAACCGACTTGGTCAAGGGATTTCTGACTTAATGAAAGGATTTCTGACTTGATGATGGGATAACCGACTTGGTCAAGGGATTTCTGACTTAATGAAAGGATTTCTGACTTGATGAAGAGATAACCGACTTGATGAAGTGGTTCCTTGCTTAATGAAGTGATTTCTGACTTACTGAAGGGATTTCTGACTGGATGAAGGGATAACCGACTTTATGAAGGGGGTCCTTGCTTAATGAAGGGATTTCCGACTTGATGAAGGGGTTTCTTGCTTAATGAAGGGATTTCCGACTTGATGAAGGGATTTATGACTTAATGAAGGGATGTCTGACTTGATGAAGGGATATCCGACTTGATGAAGGGATTTCCGACTTAATGAAGGGATGTCTGACTTGATGAAGGGAGAACCGACTTGATGAAGGAGGTTCCTGACTTAATGAAGGGATATCTGACTTAATGAAGTGATTTCTTACTTGATGAAGGGATTTATGACTTAATGAAGGGATTTCCGACTTAATGAAGGGATTTCTGACTTAATGAAGGGATTTCTGACTTGATGAAGTGATTTCTGACTTAATGAAGTGA